TGTAGTACTGTACTGTGTTTACCGAAAAAAAACCCCGCATGTAAGTGGACCCGCACAGTCCCAACCTGTGTTGTTCAAGGGTCAACTATAACAAATTCTGTGGAGGACCAGTTGTTAGCTGCGGAAACAAGGAATGGACGGGCAGACCGAGTAGGGCCACGCGCATAAGGCATCGAGGAGAGAAAACCTGGCAAGAGACCCTCACGGGGCTGGACCTGGGGTGGCAGGTGGAAAGCGGCCCCCCCGGGGAGGTGGGCTCGTGCAGAGGGCGGCGGTGAGGGGCGCCTCCACTGTCACCAGCCTGCCCCCGCGCTACGCAGCAGAGGTGGTGGAGAGCTGCCGTGCCCGAAAAATCCTAGCGTGACCCGACAGCCCCCACGGCCATGACAGGGAGGAGGCTTGAAAACCAGGAACTCCAAGAAGTCTGGGACTCCTCCCTAGATGGGTGTGGGATGGGGAGGAGGGTGGAGAGGAAGTTGCTTATGCATCCTGGCGCTGCCCTGGATACTCGGGGAGCCGGCCCTTCGCCGTGGGGGGTGACACGGGAGAAAGGAGAGGGGACAGAGGAGCAGTCCACTCGGGCTGGTGAGGAGGAGACACTCGCGTGACTTTCGGGGGCAAACTCGGAGCGGTGTCAGGCAAATGGATATGGAAAGTACAAAGGAGGTCAAGGCAGATATGCACCGTTACGGAACTGCACACGGGTGACGGCTGACGTTGCTGAGATAAACGAGCCCCCCCAAGACACTGCATGGTATCGGATTAAAAGAAAAAGTGATAAGGGAGCCACAGAGAACACAAAATTGAGGGGGTGGTGTCGAGGAGACAGGTGCAAAGAGCTGACCAAAAAGCACCAGGAGTAAAGTTTCAGAGGACAGGGAAAAGAGTCCTGAAGGAGGGAGCGGCAAATGGGGTCAGATGCACCGAAGCCATCACATCCAGTGGCTTTAGCTGTAACCGGAGCGATTCCAGTGAAGCTCTAAAGTTCTAGGATTTAAGGGTCCTCAAGTCATGCTAAAAAACTATGATCCAGGTGGAGAGCATCTGGAATGTGCAAGCCCTGAAACTTCTAACCACAGCTGACTTCCTTAATAGAGGAGGAGGAGGAGGGATTAAGTGGCTGCTTGCTTTACGCCAAAGCAGAAAATGACAGTGAAGATTGGTATGGGACTGCTGAAATCTTAGAGATCATCTCCTTATAAACTAAACAGACATATGACTGTCATGCTCTCTGCCAGGCTGCACATGCAGCCAGCCTTAACCTCCTGTGGGGAGGTGCTCCCCCAGCTGCTAGGAGCTATAAGCAGCAGGGAAGCGGGGATAGTGGCATCCAGGTAAGACTTAAAAGTACCAATGGTGGTTAAGATCCAACAGCAAATATCTGCATAAAGGCTGGTGATGCTTCAACTTAAAAAAAAAAAGAGAGAGAGAAAGGAAAATTTCTTACGCTAAGATGCCTGTTTGGCAAAGCCCCTGAAATAGCTAAACTTTTCTGAGCATGTTAACACAGATCAGGGCTTCATGGCTGATCCCACACTATGTTTAAACATAGTCATGTGGGGGCACCTGGGTGGCTCAGTCGGTTAAGTGTTTGCCTTCAGCCCAGGTTATGATCCTGGGGTCCTGGGACCGAGCCCTGGGTCAGGCTTCCTGCTCAGTGGGGAGTCTGTTTCTCCCTCTCCCTCTGTCCCGACCCCCAACCCCCACTTGTATGCTCTCTCTAATAAATATATAAAAATTTAAGAAAACCCTACACTGTGATGTGATAAGTTCAATGCACAACAGATATTTTAATTCCATTCCTACCCTTACACTGGAGATAAATTTGAGGCTAAAATAGTGATTGTGTCTTATTACCTATTTTTGTTGAATAAATATTTATGCTGTTCATAAATACTACTCCCCATAAATACTGTAAAATTCTGTACTCAAAAGGCCACCTGGAGAGCATAATGCTCACATATGTAAGCCAAAGAGAATTAGACTTTAGTCTATTTAGATAGCAAATGAATCCTCTGTTTTTACCGCATCAGTTTCTCTAAACAATGTATCCAGAACACAATTCAGTGAAATAATTCTTCTTAGAAACTTCAAACACCAACACATTTTGGTATGTTATATAAATCATGCCCTTCGTATTAAAGAAAAAAGGAAAATCTGTTCCACAAGTTTTTTTTTTTTTAATTCTTTCTAATGACCTTTAAGTCTGGGATCTTGCATAAAAATACAAGAAAAACTATGCTTCTACAAGCAGTAAACTGGTGGTGTTATCTACAGTGAACCGTGGTGGAAGCAGCCAGGGTGAATGAATCAGGCAGATTTGTGTAGCAATCTAGGCAGGGCACACTTGAGAGAGCTGCTGGCTTCAACTTAAATACAGCTGGTTTCTCTATAGTTAAATACAACTTGCCTAACGTGGGGGAGGAAAATAAATGGAATGAAACTTATGTAAAAGGCATAAAGGCAGTACTTTAATCCAGGATTAGGCTCATGCCCTTATTGGTAAAGTAAGATTTAAGGTGTAGCAGATCCTGCCATTTATTTTGACCATTTGCGATTCATCTGAAAGGAGTCACACTTTATAGACTCCACAGGTACATATGCAAATGGCACCCAGGGCAGGACTGGTAGGAAGGGGAAGGCCGAATGGGCGAAGAGAGCCTGGCAGCCAGGGGCCTCTCTTAGGTGTTCTGTTCTCAGTAACACCATGAAGGGGATGCTTTCCAGTTATATTTTATGATATTTCACAGAGAAAATTATACTCCCGGGTAAATATCTGAATCTGAGGATTCATGGAGGACTCAGAAGTATTCCTGATGAATGGCATGAGTCTATTTTGTATCTAAATATCCTCGAAACAGTAACAAAACAAAATTTCTCAAGTATTACCTTCTATTTGTGACTCCAAGTTAAAACTTAAAAAGAAATATGTAATGTATTCCTAAAAGTGAGCAATGATGGGATAGGAAATTGAATGCTTAAGTTTTCACAGAAGAAGAATATCCAATTACCACATATTTCAAAAGGAAGATGAGCCAAATAACCCACATACTATAGTTCTATATCTAGAACTGAGATTTTATAAGCCACCTAAGCCTCCACCATAAGAGCTGAAGTATTACTCCAGTGTCCTAAAGAATACCTGAAACTCAGTCTTAGAGGGAACTGAGGTTAAATTTCTCCGAAAACCACTATTAGCCTCGCTCTGCCACTTTCATTGTAAAGCTCCAACAGTCCTAGGGCTGCTCCTATGGTCTTATAGGGGGAGCACTCAAATTCCTTCTCCCCAGGGGTGGGGGACTGGGTGGTGGTGAAGATGGAATGGCAGACACAAGTCACGTATCTCCAGAAATCACCTCTCGAACTCAAAGAGCTCCATCTGGAAATAATGGAGCTGATGTATTCTCTAGCACTAAAAAGCTGCTTGCATTATAAGATGATAGTTAACTACAAAAAAATATTTCCACTTTTGAAGTCAGGATGTCCAGCAATAGGCTTTAGTTATTTTTTTTTCAGGCTTTAGTTTCTGTTGCAGAAATTAAATTCAACACAGAATCAAAATATATCCTGTTCTTTTATTATACGGAATACTGTATAGAGAAAACAACACAAAACAATTTAACTTGTAAAAGTCTGATGACCGTCTCAGAAGAGAAAGAAAATAGCACTAAAAAGGTCCTTGTCTAAACAAGGATTTCCTAGGGTTCATCTTTCCAAATGTGGGCCAAATCATGAATTCCAGTTCATACACACACCTCGGGGAAAGCCAAGTTTGGAATGTGGAGAACAAAGAGTTTATTCAGAGATCTCTTGGATGTTTTTCCTCCTCAAAAATGATGAAAACAAGAGGAGTCCAGATGGGAAAGCAGCCACTTGGGGAGAGCAGTCTTTTATTGAGATAAAATAAGAAAGCTCTGTAAGTAGATCTCCAGGATTAAGCGAGGAAGTTTAGAAAGACAACTCGTTTTTTTGATGTTGTTGCCCATAAATTATTTCTATCTGATATCCTAATATTTATGAGCTAGTTAAGTGACGATGTCTTATGCAACAGTTCAAAAGTTAAACTAAGGTAAGAGACATCAGTGTAGTTTTTAAAACCCAGCTTTCTGCTCCCAATCTGAACCAGTCAAAGACTTATTTGAGCATAGCTGGGGCCCACTTTCTTTGGTGCCCCGTTTCCTGTTGTTCACTTGAACTAGACTCACATTTTGGTCTGAGATGTGATCAAGATAAGCAGAAGTGCTGAGGAAAGGGCGGTGAACAGAAAGAAGTTGGCTTCTAGTGGGCGACTATCAGCTTATTGAATTAAACTGTATCCTTCATTAGCATAGGTAATTTACAGTGTCATTATTTAAATTTTTTAATAATCTTTATTAAGAAAGTGACACAAATACAATAAAAAAAACCTGCATTCTTTTGCTACTATTGTATCACTTCTCCCCAAAAGACGAAGACTGTCAAAGATGATAATATGGTCAATGTCCCCTCAATGAGTCTGCCAAGTTCTAACCCACGTAATCATTAAGTGTGCCGTGATGGTTTCTGTTGCTATCACACAGAAATGAAAGCACAAAGCACAAATACCACCAACTTAGAGGTGAATGCTTTGCTGGAATGTGTCCTCATGCATCCTTATGGCTTTAGAATGCTACCATGCTTTGAAAGCCACTAGGGCATGCACCTGTTTCTGTTTCAATTCCTGATTTCTTTTTTTTATTCCTTTTTCTTTTTTTTGGGGGGGGGGGGAGGCAGGAAGAGAGAGAGAGAATCTTAAGCAGGCTCCATACCCACTGTGGAACTGACATGGGGCTCAATCTTACAACCCTGAGATTGTGACTTGAGCTGAAATCAAGAATTAGATGCTTAACTGAGCCACCCAGGCACCTCACAATTCCTGATTTCTAGGAAAATATGGGACAATGTAAAGCTAGTGCTTGTGGGTCTGGTGCTCTTTAAATCTGGGGCCGAGATTCAGAGCAAACCTTTAAAGGCACACTCACCGCCTCTCCAGCGGGCGTCCGTCACTGGAGATGCTTCGAGGGATGTTGGCGGCTCTTTCTGGAGGAGGCATCTTCCCGTCTCCTTTCCCAGCATTCAGCCTCGAGGTCATGGGACTCTGCACCTGCGAGGGGACTTGAGGCGAATGAGGCCCCTTGTTGGCATTCCTCTGCCATTTGTTATTATTTCGGAAGGGAAACTTGAATTCGTATGATACCCCTTCATTCATCTTGTATTCCATCACTGGCATGCGGTAGGTTTCAGAGCAACTCCTATCAGGGGCACAGAAAGAAGAAAAATTAATATTGCTTTTTCTTGTGGGTGGAACCACACTGTTTCTCATTAACAGTTAAAATGGATCAAACACATCATCCTTTGTTCCAAACTGTCTTTTAATCATTGGGCCCTGTAATTACTGTCCTTTCAAAAACCAGAACCCCAGGAAGTACTATACTGGTATATTTTCTCTTGCTCAGTCTCAACTAAAGCATCTGAGATATGGAGTCTTGAAAAAGCAGTGAGATTCACGGTCATCCTGGTGGGTGGGGGGGACAGATAAGGGCAGAGTCAGTACTGAGGCCTGAGGAGGGTGGGCCACAGGCCAGCAGAACCCTAACACTGGGCCTCGGAGGAAGCAGGCAGTCAGCTTTACACATCCTTCATTTAGTGTCATGACTGGGGACCTAAAAAGGTATTGAATTTGTTTGGAATCTTAACAGTCAAAAAATTAAGTGGTGATAAATTCTGAAATCCAAATTGAGAGCCAAATTTAGCTCAGGAGGAGAAAACAAAAAGCCAATTACAGAAATTCTGCAATTATCATATCACCAGGGAACAAAGCATAATCTGAAATCAGACCCCCCCTCCCCCCACCAGCAAACAGCTCCCATAGCTGGGCTGACCCCACGTAGCAGCCTGAGTGAAACTGACACCCCAAATGTCCTCTGTGGCTTTACCCCCCTTTCTTGGTGCTACTGTCCCAACCCCCAAACCTTAAGATATGTGGAACTCACTCTCCACTTCCTTTACCCAAACAACCAAGGCTCAGTCTATTATAAACTTGACTGATGGACAAATTACTGAGAAAAACCTATGCCCAATAAAGCATTAACTCAAACTGTGTACTTGGTTTTCATTACTAAGCAAAAAAATGACTTTTTTGCTTAAAGGAATTTCAAAGACTGAGCAGCGGGTGGGGGGACTGGTAAAGGAAGGGTTAAAAGTGATTCTAAAACACTTTTAGAGAGGAAGGAGAGTCCACACAGTACTGTCCATAGAGACAGTGCAAGCTAGCAGCCACATGAAAAAAGTAAAAGGGAACGGGTGAAATTAATATTTTACTTAACCTACTATATCTAAGACACTACTGTTTGAACATGTAATCAATAAATCAATATAAAAAATTAGCGATTAGGTGATGTACACTCATCTAAATTTGGTGTGTCTTTTACATGTATAGCACTTCTCACTAGCCACATGACAATGACCCCTTAGCCACAGGTGACTTGTGGCTCCTGACTGCACACACAGTACAGGTCCAAAGCTTGGGTCTTGATTTGGGAAATGGGCTTGTGTTGGTGGGAGAATAAGCACAGTGGAAGGCACCAGTGTGTTAGGTAGGACTCCTGGCATTTCTAACGTGTACGCTGCAACGTGCCCTCTCCCACACTTCCACGAGAGACATGGGTTTTCAGAAGGGCTGCTTCTGAGGCACGTGTATTTGCTGGGATCCTTGCCTGCTCAGTCTCAGCCTCAGTATCCAACAGGCACCTTTTTTAGAGTTTTCTTACCATTCCTGATTCCCTAAAAGCCTAAATTAACCTTAATCTGATTCTCTGCCCAAGGCTCCACTGTACCCCTTAGAAGCTTTAATGACAGTGGCTTTCAAACATTTGGGACCATGAGCCTAGTAAGAGATACATATTACACTGTGATGCAGCCCAGCCACAAATACACACACACACACACACACACACACACACACACACACACCCTTTTATTCTACTATATTCTCTGTTAGTCCATTTCATTAAAGAAACACACTGAATGCAGCTTCCAAAATGAATTTCATGATCCATTTAGGAGTTACAACCTGCAGTGTGCAAAACACTGCTTTATGGCACATCTGACATGACTTCTGGCAGATAATGACTTCTTATGTAATAAACCTTTCCTCTGATAGGAAGGAATGTCACCTCAAGCTTTGACATAATTTTTAGTTTTGATTCTGATAGTTCCGACAAAAAAGCTGCAATACTTTTTTGGTTCTTAATAGAGATATTACTGTAGTATGGCTTGAAGTCTTCCATTTCTGACCAAATATGGCATATTATACAGTCAGTTGTGCTCTGGGTCTATAAATATAATGCAAGAATGCTGCAGCGTGCAAAAGGGGCAATAATAAAAACTTGCAAAAATCCATGGGAAAATTTCCTTCCACCTCAAAATCAGGACTAGCTCTTGCTTCGCTTCAGCAGTGGTCTGTTTTAACTTGTAAATTAAATGAATCATATCATTTCTACAGCATTTATACACATACACACAACACACACACACACCCCTTCTTTCTGTTGGGTGCTAGCAACCAGCACATATTCAGAACATTATTTTCATCTATTTTGGGCACTTTTTTTTTTTTTAAAGGTTTTATTTCTTTATTCATGAGAGAGAGAGAGAGAGAGAGGCAGAGACACAGGCAGAGGGAGAAGCAGGCTCCATGCAAGGAGCCCGACACAGGACTTGATCCCAGTACTCCAGGATCATGCCTGGGCCGAAGGCAGATGCTAAACTGCTGAGCCACCCAGGGATCCCCAAGGGCAAAAACTTTTCAAAAATGTCCCAACAGGTCATGTTTTCTCTTCACCACATCCACAACTCCCTCCCTGCCCGCCCCCCCGACAGATTCTCCCATTGGCTTTAACTCCATGGTACCCGTACATGCACCTTTACAGGCACAGGCTGCTTCATGTCCATACTGCATCACGGCAGATGGTAATAAGTAACTAATGATAATATAAACAAATCTAATGTATTATGTAACAGACAAGCTGCTTTCATCTCTGGGGCCTTAGCTTCTTTGGGAAATGAAAGATTTGGAATTGGTAATCACTGAAGTCTCTTCTAGTTCAAAAAACTCTTTGAAATAGTCTTTTAAGCTACATAACATTTCATGGTAAAATCGGTTAGAAGACTCCAGTAGCCAAAAATTTTGTCTTTTCTTAATCTGTATTTCATTTCCACCACCTCTAACGTGGGGCTAGAAACCTCCTGCACAGTCGATGATAACGGGATGCATTATGATAAGGGAGAGCAACAGGGAGAGAAGACTCATTCACAGAAAAGAAAAACAGCAGATCCACAATGCTAAACCTTGGCCAACTCGCCATGTCTAACTGCCATCCACGATGGGACAGACCACTTGCTAGCTTCCCATCACTTACTATCTCTGAAAATATAAGAATGATATGTGGAATCAAGAAGTCAGTTGTACACTGAAGAACAAAGATAAAAGCCGGCTTTTAGTGACACACATGAAAATTCATAGAAGGATTTTTATTATGTCATTCAAGTAGGTGTGATGTTGAACAGCAGTGAACGCTGACAAGGGGCCAGACGCTAATCTGGCGGCGCCGCAGCAGGTCTAGAGTAGGCACTATCATTATCCCCACTCTCTTAGATGTGAGGGAATGGAGGCCTGGAGAGAGTAATCCACCAGAGACTGTAAGGCCAGGAAGTGGCAGAGCCAGGATCTGAACTCCCAGAATTAATCTATGTGGAAATTAGAATATTTAAATCTAACAATCTCATTTTAATCCCTAACTGAAGAATACATCTACTCCAAATCCCCAGACTTCTCCACTTCAAGGGACCACTCATTTCACTCAGGGCACAGTCTGCAACAAAATGGAAAACTTAACAATCTTTAGAGAGTGATGGGCAACAGCAATTACAATTTCAGTATTTCAGGCCTACAAGACACATGGCACTATGCTGAAACCCGGCTGGTTGAAAAGCTACTCCTCCTCCCTACTCTTTTTCTCGGTCTTTTTATTCTTTCTTTCTCCTTTGGTTTCTGATTACCCATTACTCTCAACCTTTCAACACTAAGAATACAGATAGAAAAACCATCGTACAGCATACCCACAGATCGTCTCAACAATGGACTCTTGAATCAGTAGTCCGATGTCTGAGGACAGCTAGGTCCCTCAGGTCATGTGATTCGGGTTTGGAAAAAATACTTAACCTCTTTGCACCAAAGCTCTTTGCCTGAAAAATGAGAGATCTGAACCAGATGATCTCTCACAGCCTTTCCTGCTCCAAAGCAGTATGCTTTTGCATTTTGAATACTTGCTTTAAAATGAAGACAAAACTCTGTGATCCGTCCTACTTAAAAAGTGATTTGGTCCTTTTATGTAACTTGTTTGTTTTTAGCTCTTCCTCTTGAATGGTCCTTGATTGCTTTCTTCAAAAGCTGTAGGCTAGTGGCCCTCTACAGAATAAAGGTCCACCACTCCTGTGCAACACCACTCAGAACATCATGATTTCATGTGGGTGAAATCTCTAGCAGGCTGTTTTTCACCTTGCCAAGAGAATGGCTGCTGAGGATTCAGAGATCACAGGCACCAACAGACAACCACAGGTCACGGGCTCCAGCACTCCAGAGTCAGGATCGGGTGGGTGGGGGTGAGGGGCCCCTCCTGATGTCAGACATTTCATCCCCTGGGAAACTTTCTGGTAGAGGCGTGAGGAAACACTGAATCCCTTCTGCAGGACTGCTTGCAGCAAGTTATCGTCTTCACTGGTCCCACTTGATGGGTAGGCAGTGATGGAACCTCTCCAAACCCTCTTCTCATTGTTTTAGTGGAAATGGAAGACTTTTTTTTTTTTTAATGCCCAATACACAGTAGGGGTTCAGGAACTTTACTTTACTTCCCCTGTTCTTGCTTCTCTTAAAAACAGCTTTAGTATGAATACAATTCATAGAGGATCTGCTTATGTCCTAGAAATATGGAAAGAGTCCTATTTTATTTTTGTATTACTGAAGCCCCACTTTGCTGTTAAACTGTTTTCAGTAAAACAAAAAGCCTCCCTTTTCAAAACTGTGGACTCTCCCATGTGAACACACATGGGTGTTTGTAGCTACATAGGGTCAGCACGCCAGGCACGTGTGACCCATCAGGATCCTGGCCACCTGGAGCAGCAGGCGGCTGAGGGGCCGTGGGACAGGGGACCCAGAAGATGCCTATTCCCCTCGCTGGAGCTGCAGTAACAGCTGACAAAGAGAGTGACTAGTCAAAGAACAGAGTAATCAGTTGCTAGGAAAACAGCAGTGGGAGTGTGAAGTGTGGAGGAGAGAAAAGTGACAGAAGAGCATTATCTTATTTTGTTGAAAATTACAGCAAGGTGTTAATACTTCAACTGTTCCTTTGAAGTTGTTTCTAAAGGAGTGAAGGGGAAAGCAGGGCTTCCAGTCCCCCTAAGGCATCCATGGCACCATTTCACACCTGCCCAGAAGGTGTAACTGGCTTTTCGGAGGGAAACCGTGGAAGCCGTAGTGTGAAAGGCACATGGTGTGCTTCTCAGGCATGGGGCTGTACAGTGCACTGATCCTTCATCCCAATCTCCCATTCTACACCCTAAAGAGGGCAGGTTCCTAACACCTTCCTGTCCTGTCACTACCAGCTCTACTGGCCAGGAAATTGGCAATCAGTGTCTCAGCAGCACTGCTAGAAGATGAAACAAATATAGCTCATTCATTCAGGGATGTGCAGGGGCCAGCCTGTCTTGGCTTGCAAAGAGCCGACCGTGGGCATCTATCCCAACTCTGAGTACAGCGGTGTCATGCTGGTAGCAAGAAGTCGACCACAGAAGCAGTATTTACATCTTGGGAATCATCAAATGCTACAAATCTAGGTTCTTTTCTTCAATAGAAAGCCAACATACAGCAGATCTCTGCTTATGCTACATAAATTAAAAAAAATATATAATATATATATATATATATATATATATATATATATATATATAAAGAAGGATTTGTGCCCCAAGCATACAAAGACGTAGTTAAGAGCTTGGATTCTAAGTGAGATCTAAATTTGCCAGGTAAGCTTGACAAGTTCACGACTAAGCTGAGTCTTGGTTTCCTTAAAATACAAATAATATTAACACACCTCATAAGGTTGTTATAAGGATTAAATGTCCAAATCCATGTAAAAGTGTCTTTTCTAGGACCTGGCAAATTAAATTCTCAGCAAATGTTAGTTGTTTTTACCAACACAACACAGCATACTTATCTGGCTTAGTATATTGCTATGGATAAACTACCTCCTACTACAGATCTATCTATCCAGGGCCAGGCCTCCCAACCCATCTTTCCAGGAACAACCACACACAATTCAGTGTTGGTAATGTTGCCCATCCATTCATCACAAACACTCATGGGCACCTATTCCTTCTCTCCCCACCCGATACAAGCTGGGGAGCCTAGAAGACAGGGGAAAGGCTTCTGAGCAGACTACATGGCACTACACTATCCACAGACTCACTCAGACCTTTAGTCCTTAGACCAGTGTCTTTATTCTGTACTGTGTGTAATTAAGGTTGACAAGTTACAAAGCTTGGTTATCTTCTCCAGTTTAGAGCTGCCTATTTAGAAGCAATCAAGTAGATGATGGAAGGAGAGGTCAAGGGACAGAAGATGAGCGCAGAGCAGCTGGGGAGTGTCATAAGGACCTAACCACCTATATGACCCACCTCCAGAGTCATTCCTGAATCCCAGTTCAGCAGAATGCCTAAACATTAATGGTAATGCACTTGAGGAAACCAGAAAACACCTGGTTAACTAAGGCAGGATATGTGTGTTTAAGCTATTAGACAAAGGGAGTCCACAATATTCTGACAGAGGCACCTCATCTCTGGGCTGTCTAGGCAGTCAGCAATGTTCAGAAACACTACCTCAAGCGCAATCTGGTCTGCAACAGGTGGTCTGATGAACTGAAGTACATGTAGATTGTCATTGCTGCTTACTTTTTAAAGGACACAAATAACCCACTCTAACTATTTACACGATCTACCATCGACTGTTCATGAATCTGTGAGAGCTCAGGTGTAGGACAAGTCATGTTTTTAGGGGGGAGAAACCAGGTTAAGGATGTTGTCTTGGCTTTAGAAGGCCTAAGAATTAACTGCCAAAGCTTAAGAGAAACTCTTGGAAAATAATGGGTTGAAAGCAAATTGACTTATTGGGGGGAACAAAATACCTAGTAAAAATAGCATGGACATGCCCAAAGGAGAAAAGAAACAGTTGATTAAATTTGTTCCATCAAGAAACCTCCCCAGAGACCGAGAAATTAAATTTTCAAGAGTGCTGCTGGCTTGGCAGGAGCTAGAAGGGACAGGAGCTCCTGGACTTCCCTCAGTGAAAAGGCTGGGGACCAAACAGCCAAACCAGCATAAGCAGGACCAGCTCATGTGAAGCCAATTCCTAACACACACAGATGCAGTTAAGAAAATGCTTGCTAAGTCACGTCCAGGGCTCCAGACAGAGAGGAGAGGTCAAAACAGCACTCTGAATTTTGGAAAGAAAAAGCAGTAAGAGTGTCATGGAACATAAAAGAAAGAAGCCTGACAGTCTGTGTTGCTGAGTGTCTCCTAATATTAAGCACTCACTGTTTCTTAGGTACTGGCACAAGATATTTAAGATGGCTATTACTGGCCTCCTCTATCTGTAATGGCAAGTTTAGAAACCCACAGATGTAAATCCTGGGGATGGTCCAAGTCACTCACTCTTTCCAGCTGCTGCTGCCACAATGGAGAGGGAGCTAAGTCCGAGTCAGACTTTCCACAGATGGAACTTGGAGCACCACATGTAACCTGGCATGATTCACTACCTCCCGGCCCAGTGGGAGGTGTTCTACATGGTGTGCAAACCCGGCCTCGGATGCCCAGGTTCACAGCTGCCAACTCAGACCTACCTCCGTGGGGTGCAGTCATCGTGAGGGGGGATGATGACGACCTTGACCGTGACGGATGTTCTCAGGAGATCAATCATCTGCTCGTGGCTCAGGGTGGCCACCGCCACCTTGCAGATCTCTACCAGCCGGCTGCCCTGCCTCAGCCCCGCCTGCCAGGCGTAGCCGTAGGGCTCTACATCTGCCACGATGCCCTCATAGTTGACATGGAAGCCAAGCTGCCCTAGCCCATTCCTTCGCAGAGTCATCTCCACCGATTCACAACCTTTTGACACAAACTGGACAAGGAAACAAAAGGTATCATGGTTTAATGCCAGAGGGTGTTAAGTGGCGGACAGGGAACTGGAAAAAAACTGCAGGCAGGGTTATTTCTGAATACCCTGCTGCCAGCTGAAGAGCGTCTGGTTACTTCCCCTTCACTAACCCCCATTCATTAAGCCAAAAAGAACATACTTGTTGCATCCAAAGAACTCAATGGCTTCAGTGAGCTTACAAGGAAGCCTCTAACAGAGACCTACAGGGAGCTGGCAGCCAACAGAGGCTGTATTCTGCTACTTGCTTCGCCCTTAAAAAATTCGAGGCAGCAGATGCTCGATCGAACAATTCCTCTCAACAGCTAAAGCAGACTGGCTGGGCTACCTCACCAGCCAGCAAGGCAGTGGGATCAGGTCACATGCAAATGGTCTCCAACACAAAAGCACAGCAAATGTGTCTTCTCCCACTGGTTCTACTTTTCCTTCTGAAAAATGATGGAGAATGAGTGTCACGTAGACTCCGCTTGCTTCATACCATCAAGGGAGTTTTCAGAGGAGCCGACAAAACAGCACCAATTTCGTAACTTGCTTCTAAAGTCTGTTCTGAAAGCTTTAGGGAAGGGAAACTGGGTAAGTGGAAGGAAAAGACTCACCTGCAACCTTTTGACAATCTCTTTGATATCCTCATTATTAATTAAACTCTCCACCGAAACACATTCTCCTCGCTCATAGAAGACTTTGAGGCTGGCGTCAGTTGAGGTCCACCCTATCACGTCTCTGCAGGAACAGTTGAAAACCACACTCTTTGTTTCCTGCTCGATGAGAACGATGAACTCGTTGGAGACCCCTAACAGGCAGTCTATTTCCATGGCCTTGTTGTAGTCTTTGGCCCGGACAGCCCACACAATGGCCCCCATGCTGCTGAGCTCAGCTCCTGGGTATGGCTTGGACTTCTCCTTCTTCTTGGAGGCCAGAGAGATGAATGGGAACTTGCCAGATGGGTCAATAGGGGTGTTGGTGACATTCTTTTCTGCCAGATCTTTCAGGTATTCCTGGCGTGTCCGAGTTGCCATGGCCCGAAACTTTTCTGATTTATGAGCAGCATTTTCTGCGTTAATCACTTTGGCCAGAAGGAAGTCCCTGAACACGTTTGACTTAGGGAAAGTGACCCCTTTGGGGATGGGAGGTCCAAAGGAAGGCACGTCTCTGGACCTGGTGACGGCCACACTAAGAGACAAAGCAAAGGGCAAAAAGAGGAGCGTCAGTCCTTCTTGGTCTCACAACATGAGAATAAAATAACACCTGCTCCAAGAAAAAGGCATACCTCACGAGGAAAAGAACTATCACTGTCCCACAAGAAATAATATATATTTCTATTTAACATGAGCACACCTTTTCATTCAACCACATTTAGGATTTATAGAACATTAAATTTTTTCTAGTCTTAAAAAACCCAAAAAGCTTACAGTAAAAATTTTCCTCTCATTAATGGATGGTAAACCAACCATACTTCATGGAAAAAAAAAAGTGTACTGTAATATTCTACCTTTAAATACCTACTGATTATTTCTAAGCAGGGGTTACTATAATCAGCATAACCTTTTAGAACAAACAGATTTTCTAAGAACACAATTGTAGTCTCCATTTTAGATATGATGTCTATGTGCACACAGCTTATAATGAAAATATCCAAAGATGCATGACATAAAAGCAATGGATTTTTTAAAAAAATAAACAAATCACTATTTGTTGGCCTATGCAACCAGACCAAAAAGCATAATTTTAAAATAAAAATTGTAATTGCAGTATTAAAATGATTATGATTTTTAAGTAATAGCAACAGTGCTTTAAAATAAAATTTTTAGACTGAGCTATTCTTTGGTCCACATTCTCTACCTTTGGTATATGTTTCTGACAATTTTTCTGTGAGGAAATAGTTTCCTTTTCCTATTTCTTTAAGCAAGATTGATTTGAGAAAGCTTGCCACAGTCACTTTTCCTGCATAATATTGCTAAAACTGGGACTAAGATAAGGATCTTACGAGCATCTGTAATAACCTGTTATTTTTAATCTCAAAAAGGAAAAAAAAATCATGTTTTTCCTAAAACAGTAACAACAAAAGTTAAATGGAAACAGAAAGGTTGTGTAAGTTTTCTGTCATGTTCTAAGACCACATTCTAGGACCTTAGTGAAGTTTGAGAGGGCTGGAAATGATGTTTTTAACAGATTGAATGTCCATCTTTTCAAACTATATAATTATTTTAAAAGTCAGTCCATTATGCATTGTACTAAGTATTAGGGAAGTAATGCAAAATGCTTTTTCTGAATTTCCAGAATGGAAAAATCATAATAAGAGAGTGTATATATCTTTCAAATAAATTGATGAGCTCTATATCATTACTATTTTTTGTTCTGTTTTGTTTTTGGAGGGGTTTAAGATACTTAGCCTTGGTTTTCAAAAAAGGATTATTTCTCAGGAAAATAGGATACATGAATAAAAATCAGGAAACCCAGGACAGAAGTTATCTATTTTGTCTGAAGGTGCTATGGAATGGCCTATTGGTTGGTTTTCACAAATTTATTTAAAAAAAAAAAAAAAAAGGCTATCTAGTTGGCTTCATGACCAAGAAAGGTGGCAAGCAACACTCCACTTTCTAACTGGAGAGGAGAATTCACAGAAGCCTAATTACACCAGTATTAGAAAGGCAATTCTTGTCTATTGTGAGCTGTCTGTCTGGCTTGAATGCTGACAGCTGTATAATTTTAATTTGATCGTTTAAAAAAAAATCAAGCAAAAGATGTTAAAATCCAGATATTCCAGCTTTTCTAAAGAAGAATCCTATAAGGATCCAGAAACACCCATTTTTAAATTGGCAATTCCTTCTCTTGCTAATTTCACTTCAAATTGTTATCCTTTCTCAAGAACCAGCTGTAGTCTTCTTTCAAATAAGGAGAGGAAAATGCTTACCAGGGGGTGCCAGTAGGAGCACCATCTATCCACTTGCCTCTTAAACACCCTGGCTTTCTACAGATCTATTTATTAACTGTTGGAACTTGAGACAAACATATATTGAAAACCCAATGATAATTAGAAGCCTCTAGAATGAGCTATGAGGGAAAGAACTGAATCCCTAACATATAATTATCAATGATTCATCAGTAGAGAGGTAAATGATACAGATGCTAAAATCAGTTTTGCATCATTAGAAATAGAACCCTTGCAGAAGATGAGGAGGATGATGCTCTGGGATGCTTTTTTCAAACGAAAGGTCTTGCTTTGGGTTAATCTACTAACTTCAAGGTTTTCTACAAGGTTAAAAGCTCATGGATTTAGATGCCACAGATTCCAAACTCCTGATAATAAGGCCTGCCTGCAGCTCAGAAGAAAAAATATTTTTGCCACATAAGAAGCCTTTCTAGAACTTCAGTTTGCTATATATAGATACTTAAGATGTGTTAATTATAAATGGTTCTTGCTATTTGTAAAAGCAGATTCAGAAGGGCTCCTGCTTGGACACAGTTGTGTTAGCCTCATATGCAATACGGTATCACCTTAGAAATAATACATTCCTTACAATCATAGCCATGCCTCATGTACTCAGCAGTGCTGAGGATTGGATGTTCCACTGCAGAGAGTTATCCCACAGACAGAAGCTCAGAGGCTGAAGCAATTACAGAAAGCACCGGAAGAGAACATGGTGAATTCAGTGTTCCTCAAACTCTGCCAATAAAATCTTGAATTTCACCTTAAAAAGTCATCTTGATTTTGCATTCTCCTGAGGAATATCGGAGTTCATTTTAACACAAAAAGATAACCTGTCTCCCAAATCTTGGGAGTACTATTTAAGACTAGGAAAATGTTCTGTTTTACTGATGGATGGCATAGCCTTGAACTTCCATTTGAATGGCTGGTAAGAAATCTTCACTTCTCCAGGAAACAGACTCTGAGAAGTAAAGTGATTTGCCCAAAGCCTGATATAGATAGAGAGCCTGGACTGGAATCTGAACTTGCAGATGGCCAGCAGAGTGCTCTAAGATAGTACCACATTATTCCTTTTGAGGGAACATTTTTAAACCTTCCACTCTTGAGGGGCTTGCAAAAAGGTACCACCGGCAAGTGTCACACAGCTGAAGAGACCCCAATTAAGCTGGGCTTTGTAGCATGTGCTGGCATAGAAGACATTAGATAAAGTAGCAGATCTCGACACTGAAAGCCAATTTCAAGTTGATACATGATGCTGTTCCAGAGACATCTGAACAGAAGTCTCAATGGAAAAAAGTGAGAAGGTGATGATGTTTGAATTTCTGAACCACCATGAAAATGGCAATAAACAATTCCAACCCCAAATTTAGAGGAGGGGGCCTTAGCATCAGAATGGTAGAGGGAAATTTTCCCCTTCTCGGAGCTGGATCACACTGCCAGCTTGGAGAGCTTTCTCAGAAAGCAGACCTGGGCAAAGGACAGGAAAGATCAGTGGCAGAAGAAATAAATGTGTGCCCATCATTCCCTCTCTGGGGGGTTCTGGAATTCTAATAATATTCACTCACTGATGCTCCCTGAGCACCTCCTATGTGTCGGGCACTGTGCTCTTGCTAAGGATCGAGGATAAGCTGTCACAGGCTCAGCCCTCCAGAAGCTCCAAGTCTAGCAGGGCTACATACAGAAGTCAGACTGCTCTTGTGGGAGGTGTGGAGCGCTACTGGAAACACTTTGGAAAGGCAATTTACCTAGACCTGGGAGGTCAGGGGAGCCCTCCCAAAGAAAAGCAGGAATTCATCTGCTGAAGGAGGGGCAGAGGTGTGTAAGACGAGGCATTCCTGCCTGGAGAGCAGCAGCATGTGCAGAGAAGAGGGGCAGAGCACAGTACGTTCTGGGAGCTGTAAGTAGTTCCACACAGCTCCAGGGGTAGGGGTGGGGAGGAGAATTGGCAGAAGCCCCAGTGGAGGCTCAGAGTGGGAAGGCCAGACCCAAAGGACCTTAGGCAGTAGACTGTACGCTAGAGTGTCTGAACCTCTCCAAAATGGCTTTGAGCAGCAGGAGTAACATATTCAGATTTTTGTCTTAAAAAAGGTCAGCTACACTGGACAATAAGGATGCTGATTAGGCCTAGAAGAGTCTTTCTAAAAGAAATGTCTACAACTTGACCCACTTGGATTTTTTCTTCCTAGCTGAAGCTTGCATATTTATTTATTTTTAATCAAGAGAAGGGCATGCACATTTCATATGCACACACCACAGTCCCAGCCTACACCAGATACTTTACTTATGGGATTTTAAGTAGATGTCAAGCAACCATCCACTGCAGAAAAAGGAAATTTAAGATCTGAGAGGTTTAACAATCTGGTCTGGTTCCAAGTGCTTTCTGCACTATATCATACTACCTCCTTTCAACATTCATTATATTTTGACCTCTGAATATGAAAATCTTTCTGAGAGGAGAAACATACATTTCTACCTTTCTAAATGTAGTTACCACAGTTTAACACCTGAAGACTCAGGTTATTATTATAACCACTTATTATTATACTAGTTTTAAAATTAACAGTAATTCTTCAATTTTGTCAGATAGTGAGTCAATGTTCCAATTTTCAGTTGTTGAAGAGGTCCTAAAATTTTAAGTCTTTTTATCTAAAATGGATCCAAATAAGACCCACATATTTTAATTAATCATATCTTAATTTTTTTTATTCTGTTAATTCTTCTCCACTTCTTTCACTTTCCCTTTTACTTCTTGCATTTATGTGTTGAGGAAATTGGGCTGTTTGTTGTGGGGTATCTGAATTTTGCTGAATACAGGCATGTTCTTCTGTCTTTTGTATTTCCTGTAAACTGGCTTCTCCAGAAGTTTGGTTAGACTCAGGTTCAGCATGCTGGGGGAGGTAGGGAACAAGACTAATTCATAAGTGGGGTTGTGTCCTTCCATTATGAGACACGTTTGTCTCTTTTTGTTATATCTGCATTCTCTGAAGATCAATGCCTAGATCTCCTAATTCACTGGGTGCTAAAAAATGTTGAAAAAAACTTTACGCTGAGTTTTTACAGAGTGAGGCCCTGAGGTGTGAATGAAGTATATCTGGTCCTTTGCTCCCAAACTAAGTGATCCCAGACTGTTATGCTTATTGATTGGCTTTGTATCATTGACGTGAAGAGTTTTTCTGCATTTCTCTTATCAGTAATCACTTATTGATGTTTTCAGCATATCCTTGCCACTGAATAGTTCTTCATCTTTTTGATTTGTTGTTTTTAATCTGCTCTATCAACCGGGACCAGACAATTAAACTCAGTGTAATGATACCTAATAAAATGAAGAAACTGGAGGGTTCTCTCATCAGGTATGGGCATAGTACAGAGTTAGTGATTAATTTCTGAGTTCTTGGCTCTGTCTATTGTTCAAAGTTAACTGACCTCTGGAATTAGTTTGAAATAGTCAGTTTTTCCTGTTACAAACTTTTCAGTATTCAGGGAAATAACACCCACTATTTCAGGACCTCTTCTTTATATCTACCACAGGGATTTTTCTCTTTGTTCACCTGCTGCATCCCAGGGCCTAGAATAATGCCTAGCACATATACAATAAAGGCTGTAAAAAACTGGCAAAAAATAAATGAACAACAATAAGCTCCAAATTTGCCTTTCTGCATACAAAAGATCTTACATGGTGACACTGGGTGTATTTCCTTAAAACTCTATTTATACCGTGCTACCAGATGGCCTAGCATTCCAAGGGCCTCTGCTGCCTGGTAACCCCAACTACAGCAGCAGCCTTTTCACTATACCTTCCACCTTCCTTCCTGTGTCTAAACTTCTGTATAATGCTGGCCACTCCCAGAATTATTTCTCTTTCTCCCACCGAATTTCATCCATCTGTGCTTTAAAACACACCAAACCCCATTTTCTCAGTTAAATGTTCCCTGTAACTTCTTTAACCTGTACTGACCCTACACTTTTCTACCCGATTACAGCAAGAAGCTCCTTTGAGGAAACAACTTTTGCACTTTCCTCATTACAGGCACCAGATAGATGTCAATAAATAAATGTGAATGTTCTCAGGGGAGAAAGTTTGAAACGAGATTTTCAATGATAAAAAGTATCTGAATTACTCTTTGATGGATATAGTTAAATTACATTTAAATCAAATTTATTATAAATCAATGCAGTTCTAAGCTTTTCTATCAAAGTACCTCTAATAAAAGAGGCCCATAAATTCATATCCCTTGTAGTTTGGGGAGTGGCTGGGGTTGGAGAAAAACTCACAGGTACGGAAACTCTTTGAAACACTTAGGTTTTATCTTAAAATTGATATAAATTTTCTATTCTGCTTCATAATATATTTTTCTTTTTTTAAAAAAAAGATTTTATTTATTTATTCATGAGAGACACACAGACAGAGGCAGAGACATAGGCAGAGGGAGAAGCAGGCTCCCTACAGGGAGCCTGATGTAGGACTTGATCCAGAAAAAAAAAAAAAAAAGGACTTGATCCAGGACCCTGGGACCATGACCTGAGCACAAGGCAGACACTCAAATGCTGAGCCACCCAGGTGTCTCTTCTTTTTGTTTTTTTCTAAAGATTGTATGAGAAAGAGCAAGAGTGCGTGCACACACGTGCAGCAGGGGAGGAACAGACAGAGAGGAAGAAAAAGAATCCTCAAGCTGACTTCTCCCTGAGTGTGGAGCCCAACACAGGGCTTGATCCCCGGGCCCTGAGATCATGACCTGAGCTGAAGTCAAGAGTCAGCTGCTTAAACGACTGAGCCACCTTGGCCCCCCATAATAGGTTTATTTTCATGAGAACATGAATCCCCTTTACACACTTTCCCCCATGCATTAACTACAAGAGAGTTGCCTTATCTTTTCGGGGATTTTAAACATCTCCTAACATTACCACACACCCCAGGAAACATGAGAACAATTAATACACCACAAGTTTACAAGAAGAAAAGATCACTACTTTAGTTTCTTGTGATTTGACGTTACAAATTGATACGTTCTCTTGGATTTTAAAAAAGGCCCAAATTCACAGTTTATATGTGAATTTAACTGCATGTTGGGTCTTCAAACAAGTTTGGCAACTAGGAAATCCCAGGCTAGCTCACATGGCCTGACCTGGGGTGTTCAGTGTCCTCCCATAAAGGGTCCAACATCATATCGCATGGTGGGATTAAGAAGATGGGCTCTCCAGGCAACAGATTAAAAATAAGAGAGACAGTAGGTCTCTGGGTGGCTCAGTTGGTTAAGCATCTGCCTTTGGCTTGGGTGGTGATATCAGAGTCATGGGATCAAGCCCCATGTCACGCTCCCTGTTGAGGAGGAAACCTGCTTCTCTCCCCCACCCACCACTCTCCCTGCTTATGCTTGCTCTCTTTCTCTCTCAAATAAATAAATAAGTAAATAAATAAATAAAAGAGACTACAAAAAGCATGATTTTCAAGACTGGAGTAGGGGTGGGGTTTAAAGAATAAGACAGACATCACTTCCTCATCTAGCAAAGTGTTGAAGAAGGTTAAGAGATATTTCCTCCTGATTACTCTATTTAGACTTGCACTGGCCACATGTAGGCGACTGAGCACTCCAAATTATGACCAAGGAGGTTTTTTTTTTTTAAATGACCAAAGAATATTAAATTACATTATAATTTTAAAAGTGACAATTCAGTTATTCCAAAGCTTTGAAAAAGCATGTTTGGAACATTCTGAGCATATGAATCTACTTTGCCAGTTGCAAATTCTCTGAAATCTAAACACAAGTTATTTCCAATGAAAATCAAGCATCCTGACGAGCTCCAAGTCTAAAACATACTCCAGATTTCAAAATCTTAGTCCAAAAATAAGTAAAATAGGTCAATAATCTTTAAAACTTAAAAATCACCTGTTGAAACAATAAGATTTGGATACAACAGGTAAATAAAATGTATTATTGGGTCAAAAACATACTGCTAAAATTAATTTTACCTACTTCTTGTTATTTTAAAAATATGGCTATCAAAAAATATAAAATATATGGCTTACATTACGTTTCTGTTGAACAGCATTTTATTTAGACAGAATCTTTCTGTAAAACAAACTGTATAGCTTTCCACTCCCAAACTTCATAGTGACCAATCAAAAAGGTATTAGCTTTCTATCAAAGTTGTATGAACTCCTTTGCATGAATCCAGTACAGAGGATGTTTCAATTGCTTGGGGTATTTTCTAAATGCAATAGCCATCCCTCCCAGTTACAGTCAAAAGTTCTGCACTTAGTCTGTCATTTTATACCTAAATAAAGCAGCTTCCAGAGACCATATTATTCTTGGTAAGAGGCTGCAGATCCGGGTCTCTTTTGTTGGAGTTTCCACTTCTCAGCCTAGAGTTCTGGGATAGCTTGTGTGTCAGCAGCAAGGGCAGTACAGACCCATGCTTCACAGACCTTGTGAGGGGCTAGGCTCTAGAACCAGTGAAGGGGCCGAGTCCTAGTAGTTCCACTAAATCTGGAACCAGATTTAGTATATTACAATCTAAACTACCCAATACCAGGACACCTGGGTGGCTCAGTTAAATGTCTGCCTTCGGCTTAGGTCATGATCCTAGGGTCCTGGGATTGAGCTTCATGTTGGGCTCCTCGCTGGGCAGGGAGCCTGCTCCTCCCTCTCCCTCTACCTGCTGCTCTGCCTACTTATGTGCTCCCTCTCTCTCTGTCTCTCTGTCAAATAAATAAACTACCTGATACCAGCTAACTACAGTCAAGTTACCTGTCCCCATGGCTTAAACTTCATCTGAAAATGGGGATTTTTAGAAACAGTACCAAATGTATGGGTTTTAAAAATCAAATGAGGTAGCCCAGGTAAAGTGCCTAGAATTAGTGCTAGGCTTATCAGAGGAGGCCAACATACATAGTTCTCGTAGGATGTGCAGGGAAGGTGACAGTTCGCAGTAGTCCAGAGCAGCCTTTATTATTTGTTTTGTTCCCTGAACCCACTTATTCAACTCCTGTAATTAACCCACACTGACACCCAGAATTAGACAGTTGTGGATCTCACAACAAACCAATTATCAGTCTGTGTTGGCCACTTTTTGTGTAGGTGGCTATACTAATTCAAAAGCAAATATCCAACATTAACAAAGTCCAATCTCCTGAATTTTAGGGATGGAAAGACAGGACAAAATTCTGTATTTTAGAAGGACAGATTCATATCAGAAACATCTTACTAATGCTAGAATAGCCTTACACGTCTTCTTAGTACTATGTCCATGTCAACCCAGCAATTCAGGTCCTTATCCTTGTCAACACCCAAAGGCCTCTTGCAGACAGATACCTGAATTCTGATACTCATGAGACTAGGTGAACAAGCAACATGAAAACAATTTTACCAGAGGCTTACTAAAGAATAGAAACGCCTCAAAGATTGCAGTCAGAAATGTTAAACTGAATCCCATCAGTCCTAAGCAAGGATTTGAGCTTTTTAAATAATAATAATTAAAACAAAACAAAACTTTTCTACTTATTATGATCATTCTTCTCTGCTCTTGCCACACCAAAAGCTAAATATAATTAGCAGTGTGAGTAATTAGTTGGTGACCAGATGGTATGGATGAAGGACACCACCTAAGGAGGAGGTGCAAATGGAAATAGCAGGTGTCTAACCAACGTGTCTGGGCAATGTCAGTGCCGTCAGGTTACGTCATTGTGTGAATCTGGCCATCTACATGCACAGTTTAAAGATAAAAATAAATAGTAATAGCTTCCCACTGACACTTCAGAAAGAATTGGATGGGGCCCTCTGTGTGACCACCGGCCAACGCCCATGCAGCTACTGCTGTTGTGCCAGTACCTGTAACAGACACCGTCTGTGCAGGGGTTGTGAACCCTCACAATGACGAAAACGTGCTGGAAGTGGGATCGGATGTTTTTTGGGCTGAATGGCTGTGCTCCTGGCTCTTGGAAAACAATTGTTACAATATCATTTCCAATATGTCGCTTCCGTAGGAGCTAAAAAAAAAAAAAAATAAGCAAACAACATAAATGACAACACTCCGCATTTTACTCAATTCCCTTATGTAACTGTATTTTAAACATTCATTATTAATCAGGCCATATTAAGGTAGGCAATCTCCACAGTTGCTGTCAATATTTTAGCCTGTCTTATTTCCTCCCAGGAAGAATAAAGAAATGAATATTCTGAAATTTGCATAAAATATAGAGCCCGTTCAGGAGCAAACCAATATCTGGCATATTACACCAAGTTCTAGCCTCTCCAAAGTCTCAGTTTCCATAACAACAGTTTTGTTCCATTTTCACATAAGAAAGAAACTTGCCATAGGGAAGATTTTTTAGAAAAGAGAATGGCTGAAGTAATTACAATGCAATTTATGTTCTGCTTTAATTCACTTCATTTAAAGAAATGTGGCGAAGGTGTTTTCGAACACGTTTGTTGTGTCACCAGCTGGGAATGCAGAAATTACTAATATTCCTTAAAGCAGGTTAAATTACAAGTTTAAATCACTTTTTTAATTACAATGAAAGCTGCTTAAGACCACCTTCTGTTTCACATTAAATGGTGTTTTGGAAAGGTGGCTTTCAAATTCAGGGAACCCAGGTCAGGCTAGGCCAAGAGGGGTTTATTAGATAGTTTAATTCAGTAGTGTGAAATAAAGTTGAACAAAATTTGTATTTCTCATATTTATTATATAGAGCCTCTAATGAGAAAAATAATGAAATATACCATTGATATCAACTTTGTTAGGCATAAGCTTACATTTATAAAACTTTTTTTCTTAATTTTCCAGCGACTTTAACTTACACAAATTACATACCAGTAAAATCAATGATCTAATATTGGCTGCCGGCTGGGAGAAACAATAGCCTTTTAGATTAGGGTTGAGAATTGGGAGTTAGAATGTTCCAGAAATATACTTTTTAACCTTAGGAATTTAAAAGCATCCCAAATTATCTTCTAATGAGGCCATTTACTTTCATTTCTAAACATGATATATTATTGGATGTTACAGAAATAAAGGTCTGTACTGATTGCTATACAGAATATACCCATTATTAAACATTATTAATCTACTCAAGATCTTGGACACAACAACAACAAAATCAATTGGTCTATGTATCATGTCATTCCTGCATAGATGATTTCATTGCCTTTTTGATGCAATGTCGTTCTTTCTTCAAAAATTGATTGATATGTAACACTAAGGTCTTAATAAAGGACCCAAATAGAAATAAATCCATTTACCCATCTCACATTATCTATAATGAAAGACAGTATCTATAAACAAATTCCTGCCACAGATTTTAAAAGATATGTTCTTTCTGGGTCCCCCCCCCCAAGCATAAAGTGATCTATGTAGAAGAAATAAATTCCCTAGCTAGAGAACTAAAATCTCTTAATATGCAACAATACAAATTATTTCTTCACTCTGACTTAGGACCATAAAAACACTTTTACCTTGAGTGGACCTCCAAATTAAATAATTTAAATAGCTGTCCATTTAAATGCCAACTTATGCTGCTCAACACACTTCAACTCATTTAGGAGAAATAAACAAGTAATTGAATCTTGTTAACTACATATATCATACTTTCTCTGCTGAGTAATCAGGTAGAAAGAATAATCCTTTAAAGGATCCTTTAAAGATCGTTTGTCAATGTTCTGAAATTTTTTGTCTACTTACCAGTCAGAATAAGAAAAACATATTTTTTCTTAGCATGATGTTTTCCTCTCTGGATAATCTAGAACTTGGAATTTGCATAGAAAATTATCAACATATTCCAGATCATAGAACTTATCTTAAATAGGTTTATTTCAGATTTGTGACTGATTCACTGCTTTGCTTCCTATTTTTGATTACTGTGGTAATCGTAAGAGGCAAAATTTTGTTACCTAGATTTGTGATTTAATCAAACCTGCACTGATGAAGTGTTAGATTAGATCAGTGTTTGGTTAAATTCTGGGAAAGAGGATGTGATTCATTCTGCAGCTGGCCTGTGTTCTGTTAGCACAACAGTTGACAATAACAAAATCTATATCCATTTTAGGGTCAGAAGTAATACTGGACCACTTGTGTTTATAACTGCTATTGAAAGGAGAAGCTGTTAGTTCTCTGGCTCTTTTAAACGTCAGTTTGGTATCATTTATTCTGAAATGTTTTTTTAAAAACAGCAACTACCACATACTTTCTAAAACAATAGTACCCGTTTCTATTTTGCTCTGTAACAATCTGCCACTTTAAGTTTTCTTCATTTACTATGTCAATGACCACATTTTAGTGATAGGCGTTGTGCTTTTAGATCCTCTTAAAAGAAACTCTGTGATGTACACAAAGGCAATCAACATTTTTTATGTTCTTTGCTGTCTCTAGAAAAAAACTTTTTCTGAGAGCCCATTGACATTTATTTTGGTTTTTCTCCAAGTTAGTATACCAGAACTCCTTTGAAAACTGAAATGACACATCAGTACTTTCCTGTTTTGTACCCTAGCCTCTTGAGATGGAATTTCACCCACTCATACTTGTTCTCCGCAACCCTGCAGGGTCACCTAATCACCATGATTTCAACTTGTTCTCTTCAGATTCCATGAAAACTTCAATCCTCGTGGGTGAAAAGCAAATGATTAATTCACAAAGCCATCCAGCTGGCTGTTAACCTAGAATTTGTGTCTCTTCATTTGTTTTCAGCTCATTTGCTATTCGTTATTTCCGCAAAGTACAAAGCTTCCTGCCGCGGTGACAGGTGCAACATTAAATTCTGGTTTAAGATTTTACAAACTTGCCACTTAGGCTTCTGGGGGAAATGAACAAGGGCGAAGAAACACAGACAACACCAGGATCTCTTACCTGTTGCTTGTTGTTAGGCGTGTATGGCAGCATGGTGGAAACATGGAACATAATTTCATAGTCTTTATATGTTGTATACAGAGAATGGGTTCCAGTGGAGTCAGCTACAGTAAAAAAAGTATATATATAATGATGAGATGACTATAAGAATAGGAAAAATAGTTCACTTAAGGAAAATATCTCAAAAAAAAAAAGGGGAAATGGTTTAGAATGAAAAGATGTTAGATAAGATCTAGCATTGGTGTTCTTGCCCACTTTTTGTATTTGATTTTCTTTGGTAGTCTAGTGAAGATACCTTCTCAGAATAATATTTGTAAATGTATAATATATATGATTTCAATAGAACTCCATTATACTGTAAAATACAGTTAGCAAAAATAATTTTAAAATATGATGTTAGATTTCTATAACAAGTTTTAGCAATTGATTTAATAATAACCACTATGATTTTGAAGTAGTGATGTACATAAGCAATATTTTGAAGGATCTCCAAGAAAAATACAGTATGAAAATATCTTCACTTTCTGCCTGCAATAAAATCATAGGTAGAACTTACACAACTGTAGTTGGCTGCCTACATTCAAAACTGAAGGAAGTGTTACATTTTAATTAGAGGTCAGTGAAAATAAATGTAAAATTATTTCCCATCCAAGTTTATACACCCCTGAATTCTGTCCACAGACATCAGAAGAAGGACATCTTTTCCAATACTTTTAAGAGAAATGTTTTGTTCTTAAGAAACAAAATTTAACAAGACTGTAACACTGAATAACAAAGATATTAGAGCAATGTCCAACAATGTTTTAAGACTGTGCTCTGCTCTCACCTTTCTTAAACAGCAACCTCTACCACTTGATCATTAACAAACCAATTGCCCACAAACCACTGGACACCAGAGAAGGGAATTATTAACTGTCCAAACGAAAGGGAGTACCTCTAGTCTTAAAAGCACTGGACTTAATAGGCTGCAAAATGACAGAAGTGCGTTCATTCTGGGTAAACTCAAGCCTGCATCAACCATACCGTTGAGGACCAGAACAGTTTCCTGCATTTTAGAGAAGCTGCAAGACAAAGCCCCTGGCATACACCAAGAGGCGGTCGTTCTCAAATTTAGTATGCACAGTGGCATCTGGAGAACTGGTTTAAAAGGCAAATTCCTATGCACCACCCCCAGTGGTTCTGGGGCTGGGCAGAGGAATCTATTTTAATAAACACCCCCAGGATGACTGTAATGAAGTAGCTCCACTGCCCTTAGGCACTGCTCCAAGAATAGACCACAATGGTGGCTTGCAGAAAGACTTGTAAAAATGTTCAAGGGCCTGGTGTTTCAACCTCAAGCTTCTTGGAGGATCTTAATTTTTAAAGCTGACATTAGATGCAAAGGGTTAAAAGCAAGCTAAAAGTGAAATAAAGCATAGATTACACTTCAAAAATTGAAAAAATATGTACCAACATATAATTTCCCAAGGAAAAAAAAATCTTCTAAATGCTAATGACCACCAACACAAAAACTACAAATTACTACAATAAATAATTGAACTATCTAAGACAGGTCTCAAGTATGAAGAACATACCTACTGTTAAGGACTCTTGCTATAAATAACTCTTGAACTGATTAGGACATTTTAAAACCTTAAAGTGAATGTGTCAGCTTTGACATGTACTTACATGTGTTTCAAGTCAATTTTGAGCAAAATTAATGAACCAGAAAAGAGACTGTTATCTAGTATTCATGAATTACATTTCGCTTTCTATGTCTGTCTAATTCTAAAAGGATTCTACTGCCAGAGAGAGAAGCTGATATGGAAGACAACGCTGAAGATAATCTGTTTTTCTACTGCTGGCACATTCTCTCTTTCCTTTCTGCATGCCTCATTTACAAAATGTACACTGCTTGACCAGCCTTTTTCTGGGGACTTTTGGAAACCCCCAAGTTTTGCTGATAAACAGTTTGAATAGTTTCAGAAATTTCCGAGATGAAAAAGGGCCAAAATAATGAAATTTTCCTTTCTGAGAAGAAAGGAATACCAAAATCCTGAAAATACTAAGTACATAAAAACAAAATTGTTAACCTTTACCAGGGAGAATGGAAAATGAGGTTTGTTATATATTCTAAAGAATACAGCATCCAATGTTGCTATTACTATATATTTTTAGTGACCCTGAAACCCTGAATCCATGAAAAATTTAATAGCATGACAATCAGGAAAATGAAAATGACAAAAGTCCTTTTCTCTCTGGCTGAAGAGAACATATGTTGAAAATTTTCTAAAGGGAAATATGCTTTAAGAAGAGAGTTATGGAAGGAAGATAATGCTCCTTTGTATTTGGTGAGGAGCTTTAAAAGTCAAAAAGTAAATTCCGGTATCCTATGGGTCATCTTGATAATCACATTATTTGCTTGCAAATCATACTACCAGCAAGTGGCACACACCCACTAATAAGGTCAGCACTCTATGCTAAGTCATAGAAAGTAAAATTTCTAATATTCCGTGCAGATAAAAGGCACTGAATAACTGAGGAATGGTGACAATATTTTTCTCAGCTGCTTTGAAAAAGTGGAGATACATGATAACATCCTACATTAGGCATTTCTATTTGAAGATGGTATGAACTGGTTAATTAATGAGTTTGGAGAACAGTTTCAGATAGTGTCATAATCATCCTTGACTGCTCTTTTGGGCTCAACTCTTACTTTTAGGTAGTCTGAAACCTTCGTTGATAAGGTGAATGTATATAAATCTTAATGAGGAAAAGTAATCAGACTTTCATAACAACCATTTCTCAGTCATTAACAGATGTATTGGAGTTAAGAAAAGCTAGATGAAAGAAAACAAGCCTATGGAATTTGATTTCAGGAAAGTTTCTAGTTTTAAATATTTACGAACACATGAGAAAAGTAATCTCATTAACTAAACACACGCTGGCTAAATAAAGTCAACAGAATGAAGAAGGCTTAAGCTCCATTAATTAAATGTACTCACCGCTACAGAACATGTCAAATGCAAGATGAAATCAGATTGCTTGTAGGTTGCATTTTTATCCCTTTATTTAATTTGAAATATAATAATAGGTGGCTGCTGGGGACCACCCCTTGAAGACCCTCAGATGTCCCATTTATGCACCTTGCCTTAGGGTCTGGGGAATGCAGAAGTCAATGCTCAGAAACACAGCCAGGGCCCCGTACTGACATCTGGAACATCAGCACATATTCAAGAGGAGACACACTTCTGCCCTTGCGGTACTACACACTCACTCACTAATGAAGTATTTGGGGAAATCAAGAATTTCTACCTGCTCTGGCATCCACCGTGTCTACTAGTATTTTTTCAAGGTACATTCAGCCATGGCCAGGAGATGTGTTCCTTTACTTCAGTAAGGGTCAGACCAAGAAGGGTTTGTTGTCCTGCCCTTGACCATGACAGAAGAATCCACACTGTTTCAGTTCAAGGCACGTGTGAGTGTGCACGTGAATGTACACTGTGCATGGAGCCTCACATTTGAGCTTCTTAAAAATCAGTAACAGAGGGGTGAGAAAAGTTGAGACGGTGCGAGGCTGGCACTCAGGAGTTAGCCCCTACTGTTTTCTGCTAATGACTCACTTGGCAAGACACCTACAATTACCTGGATTCCCAATTTGGAAGTAAGAATATCTGAATTTGAAGAACAGCTGCATCATTTGCTAAAAGACAACAGGTCATTTCACTTCTCTGCCTGTTGATATTCTTACAGCTGTGAGGATTAAGTGAAATAATGTATATGAAAGGGCTAGCCCATAAAGAAGATGCTCAAGATGTGATTAGAATTTAGAATTTTGTGCAGTTGAGGTAAAAAAGTGTAGTTTCCTTAAGTAGGAACCTTTACATATTTTAATTTCTTTGCCAAGTGCATTCCAGGAACACGCGCAAGAAAAATCTTAGAACAGTTCAAAGTTAAAGAGGTGAAAAAAGAATCCTTTTCTTCATTCATTAGTGCCTACAACTCCAAATGGCCCTCTGCATATACAGAGCATTTAAGCAATGGTAGTTGTCTCCAGTTCTTTATCAAAGTTTAAATATTCCAAATAAAGGACTTATTTTCTTTATGAAAAAGCTTGTATCTCTTCTGAGACTCTGAATCTCAGAGGTACGTAACACTGCTGAAAAATGGGGAAGCAACAAGCATTCACTAATTTGCAGCAAATGAATGAAAGCAAGGCTTTTAAGGAATGCTTTACTAAGGGCTTCTAAAGTCTCCTATGTTGGGTCTTAACAAATGAGCCTCATCCAGGAAATGATTTTCCAAATAATCATCCATATCCATAGCTAAACATGAAGGTGGTCTCCAGCTTTCAAACAACAAACTGCTTGGTGGTAAGTTTATTTTTGTCTTTACTGCTGTATGAGAGGATGGTAATTATCTAGAGGTCATGTCATCCAAATACGGAGACAAAGTGAGGAAGAAAAAAAATCCACCAATGAAAATGTCTTCATTATAGAACTGGTCCAACCCCCGTCACATCTGTAGCTTGTCTGCTAAAAGACCTTATTTCTGAACCAAGAAAAGAGACTTGTATGAAAAACTGGGAAAAACAAGAAATGGTTCAATAGCTCCATCAAAAATCTGAATAGAATTGTAATGCATGACAAGCAGAGCCGTTTCTTGAGATGGCTTGGGTACTTTGAGCCCAAGGGCTTAAGAAAGGGATGGACACAACCACAAGGCAGAGTTCTGGGCTTCACTGTACTTAATTGTACATTTATGCTTTTTCTGAACACTTCATCAACCATAGCACTAGGGTCTGTTCTACTTCCCAAGTACTTATTACCTGTCTAACCTTGGGCACTTTAATCTAAAGAAGCCAAGTCTGTAAAATGGGAATAACTAGTACTCAGCAAGGTCTGTGAGGGGCTACATGAGATGACAAATATAAAAAGTACCTGGGACTTTTGCTTCCAGCCAGCCACACAAGTACTCGGTATAGGACTTGTTTTCCCATTATAAGTAACTAAAAAACCGACAAAATATCTGAAACAGCCTTTTTTCACACATTTTTATAATAGGCAGCATTGGGTAATGATCCTAAAGAAAAAAGAGCCAAACAAGATGAACCCTCTGATCCCACTAGGTTTTCTACCTGGAGGTACTTTTGGAACAACAGCACAGAGCATGGATCTGAAGAGGAAAGCCAAAATATACTTGTGTTTAGGAAGTCTGAGGTAGCTGATAATTGCTGGGCAGAGCTACACTGTGAAAGGGGTTCAGAAATCTGCATAAGGGCCCCCTTTGAGTCTTGGGTTAAATAGTATAAGCTGCACACACAGAGAGTAAGATTCCAAAAGCCAGGCAAAGAAAAACTATTAGGGTAATGTATAGCATGGTGGCTATAGTTGGTAATACTGTACTGCATATTTGAAAGTTGTGAAGAGTAGATCTTAAAAGTTCTCATCACAAGAAAAAAATTTTTGGTAACCTTGTATGGTGACACATGGTAACTAGACTTTTACAATATACACAAATATTGAATCATTACATTCTACACCTGAAACTAATATAATACTATGTGTCAATTATACCTCAATAACAGAAAAACTATTAGGCAAAGAAAAACTACCAGAGAATTGTAAAGCAAACAATTTTCACAGTCCACATAAGGTTCAAAGACACTCAAGTTCTAACCAGCCACAGTAGAGACCTCATTAAACATGCAGGTATTCAGACATAAGAAAAATCGTGCCTCAGTAGAAGAAATAAATTAGACAGTAAAGAACTGCCCTAGGTATACTTTAATAAAGCTTAAGAAAAAGGTTTATAAAGATTAAGCTGTTTTGTATGTAACTTATCTGCCTACCAAAACTAAACTCAACACTCTTTAAAGACAACAAAATTTTGACACTCAACCATAAAATATTCACAATATACACTCTCCAATCAAAAGTAACCAGACACATGAAGCAGTAACATAGAACTCAAAAGCAGGAGAGAATCTGTTAAATGGAGACCTCATATGAAGGATGATGGAACTGGCATGCAAAGACTTTAAAACAGCTATCATAAATACGTTCAAGTATTTAAAGAACAATATAATTTAATGAGAAAGTAGGAAATATAAGAAAAGAGGACCAAATTCAATTCTGGCCCCGAAGATGAAAATTTCACTGGAATGGATTAAGAGCAGATTAAGACACTATGGAAGAAAAGAAAAAAACAGTGAATTTGGAGGATATATTAATAAGAATTATTCAAATGGAAGCATAGAAAAAAAGGTTAAAAAAATAAATCACCAGAGCCTCACTAACCCATGGTATGTCAGTGAGTTACCTAATGTATGTATAATTGAATATTCAGAAGATGGGGACAGGAAAAAATAAATCAAGATTGGCCATTACTGGGACACGTGAGTGGTTTTGGCTCAGGGTATCCCGGAGTCCCAGGATTGAGTCCCACATCGGGCTCCCTGCTTCTCCCTCTGACTATGTCTCTGCAACTCTCATGAATAAATAAATAAAATCTTAAAAAAAAAAACTGGCAATTACTATTTTTATTTGATGAAAACTACAAATCAACAGATCCAATCACATTTACACTGCTGAATGTAAAGAATACGATTCTTTAAGAACAGTTGAACTGGAAAGCTTTCTCTCTCCCCCTCCTCTCTCTCTCTCTCTCTCTCTCTCTTTTTTAAAGAGTGGGGAGAGGCAGAGGAAGAGAGAGAGAATCTTATGCAGACTCCATGCCCAGAGCAGAGCCTGACTTGGGGCTCAATCTCATGATTCTGAGATCAAGACCCTGAGCTGAAATAAAGAGTTGGGATGCTTAACCAACTTAGGCACCCCAGTATTTTCTGTTTTCAATTATTATATTAAAAGAAAGACTCAAGTGACACAAAGTAAGATTGGACAAAATATGGTGAAATGACCTCCTAGCATACAGAGCAAAGTCTCATCTCTGGGTGTGCCATGGCCAGTGAGAGGCTGCTGGAGTATGCAGAGGCTGGTTTTGACCCTATCAGCTCAGAGATAACAAACTGCCTCTTTTCTGAGCTTTAGAATAGAAATATTCTCTTTCTGTTACCTGGAGAAAAACTGATACTCTGAAAGGGCAGAAAAAGAAACTACAGACTCTTCTGCTCATCAGTTTTGCCCTGAAAGGTTATAGAGGCCTGTCACGAGGGCACTGTAAGTGAAAAGGGAACTCCTTCCCTGCTGAATTATTACATTATAAAAACGTGCCATTAGAGACAGTTTGCTAATCTAGGTTTATCCCCCTCTAGCTTTCACAGTCATTGGGATATTGGGACAAAATATGCATAGAGTGCTTATTTTGCTTATTCCAGTGTCTTACTTGATGCCACACTGCTTAATGTATCATCCTACCATACAATTCTCACATTGACTTTTATCATGAAGAGGTGCCTGGGAATATGTGAATGCACAAAAAATACAGTCTTATCAGTTTCTAATCTGGCTATTCATGTATAGAATCAGGGTGCTTAAAATGTCCACAATAGTTGAACTCTGGAAAAGAGCTCAGATGTCCATCAACAGATTAACAGATAAAGAAGATGTGGTATATACATACAACGGAATATTACTCAGCCATCAAAAAGAATGAAATTTTGCCATTTGCAGCGATGTGGGTGGAGCTAGAGGGTATTATGTATGCTAAGCGAAATAAATCAGAGAAAGATAATTATATGATCTAATTCACATGTGGAATTTAAGAAACAAAGCAGATGAACCTAGGGGAAGAGAAGGAAAAAATAAGACAAAAACAGAGAGGGAGGCAAACGATAAGAAACTCTTAACTCTCGGGAATAAACTAAGGGTTGCTGGAGGGGAGGTGGGTGGGGGCATAGGGTAACTGGGTGATGGGCATCAAGAAGGGCACTTGATGTGAGGAGCATTGGGTGCTACATGCAACTGATGAATTACTAAATTCTACCCCTGAAACTAACATACTATATATTAAAAAAAAAAAAAAAACCACAACCAGGGTGCTTATTATATTCTCTTCCCAGACCCTTTCATATAGCTCTTTGTGGTAAGGATAATTTATATAACACAACAAATTGGGACAACATGAATGAAGCGTATTGGGCAAATGTCAGAGCATCTGGAAAAGAAGGGTCTCAGGGCATATTGAGATTGAACATTTTATGCACTTGCAGGCACAGTATGGAACGTTAAAATAATATTTAAGAGTTGAGGCTATTTATGGGCTTTAATAGTCTCTCTTGCATGTCGTTTCCAAGTTGGCAACAGCAAAACCATGGCAACAGGAAATTCTTCCCTGCAGTGTAGTTTATGAATGCTTTTCTGTTTTCATGACTCAACTCCTTATTTAATTTCCTGTACAGAAAATCGGAGAGATTACTATAGACTGCAATACAGATGTGCTAATCCAAAGACCCTCTCAAAGAAAAACAGGTCACAGGTGTCCATGGATGGATCTTGAGATAAAATTTAAAACTATCTCCTCACAGACACACAGCAGACATCAACATATTCTAACCTTAACAGATACTTAAGAACTTAACTATGTTATTAAAGATTTGGAGAATGACAGTGTAAAACCTTGTATGTTCATAAGCCATAGCTAAAACAACTGTTTCATCATTGTACTTTTAATCAACACATATCAGGAGCGAAACTAATACCAAAGCTAAGAAGCCAATTTTCTTAGGGATTCAATTAGACGATGAATAATAAAAATAGAAAATAAGCAAACAAAAGCCCTCAATGTTAATAGAATACATACATACCATACAAAGGCTAACTGCATATATGACTGCATCAGGATTACGAAAGAAATTAATGAAAGTAAAAAATTCTAGGGCTTACAACCAGATGGTTCTAAGATTCTGGCATTTTTAACTCACTCTAACATTCAGCTAAATATAGTGAAATTTATGCAACACTATCCAGGAGCAATTCTGCATGATTTGCACCCACTGCTCTACTACTTCATCAACACTTCTGATAACACTTTTTTTTTTTTTTTAACAGTCCAATCCTAGCTACTCTGATTATAGTCTTCAATTGTTTTGGTGCCACATCCTCCCTCTCTGGCTTCCTCTCCCCTATCACCAGCAGTGTTCTGCAGTAAATGGCAATGTTGTTTTATGGGCAATTTAGCAGATGAACATCAACACAGCAGGAAGGAAATAAGCCTAGCAGGAGAGTCTAAGTATTTCTTACTTTTGGTGTCAAGCTGCGCACGATACTTCTCAAATCCTTTGAGCCGAACACGCTCTCCCAATAGCTGAAGGAATTCCTCAAAGGCCGGGCCGGCTGACTCATTGTTGTACATCTCTTCTTCAGTGCTCTGTCCGGCTCTGCAGTACATGATGCCAACCTTCTGCTGATAGTTCAGCTGTGGAGAGAGGCAGTACAGTGCGTATAAATAGAGACAGACCCACCTTGCCCACTAACTTTTAGGAGTCGATAGAGCACACGCCCATCATATAGCTAACATCTCTCTTCTCTTCAAGTCATTTTTCCTTTTTTAAAGATTTTATTTATTTATTCATGAGACAGCAGAGACATAGGCAGAGGGAGAAACAGTTCCCTGATGGGGAACTCAGTCCCAGGACCCTGGGATCACCACCTGAGCCATAGGCAGATGCTCAAGCCCTGAGCCACCCAGACAGCCCCCTTGAAACCATTCTGTTTTAATTTTTCTGCCTCTAATCCAAAAAAAAGAAAAAGAAAAAAAAAAGACAGTAGAACAAGCATCTATAACTATAATCTTCACAAATTTAGATAAAAGGCTAGGAAAACAAATTAACACTTCCTGTACACCAAGATCACACATCATTAGAACAGATTTTGATACTGTAGGGAATTTCTCTGAATGGATTACAAATACAAAATGAGTCTATAAAAAAACATCTTGACAACAAAAGGTAATTTTTTTAACATATGAAAAGACATTTTATTATTTTGCTATATAACATATTAGTGAATATACTCAATTGCGTTTCTCAAATGGCAAATGTGACAAAAGACAACATCTTTTTGATTCCTGAAAACCTCAGTATCATCTGTCTTTGGAGGATCCAGTTTCCTAAGACGTCTATGATACTGTCCGTGAGGATACCAACAATTCTTAGTAGTAAAGAACATTTTGCTAAGTTGTTCTATCATGAGTCCTTGCTCAGAGTGTTCATTTTTTTCTTCTAGTCTGGTTTTCAGCACTTGGTCATGTGTTTCTTCATTATTATGCACAGGATCTGGCTGAGGGATAGGTTTTGTAAGCTCATATGGAATGTCCACAGAAGGGTGGTAGCATACTATTGTCCTGCCGTCAGATGTCAAAGCAAGCTCTACTTTGCAATTATAGTCATCTGGTAGAGGAGAATACGTAGATTTATGACAAACACAATATAAAGCTCCATTTTGAATTGGAAATAAAGGTTTCCAGACAGTTCTGTTTGATATTGCCCATTTTACTGCTGCCAATGCCATGGTCAATCAAGATGCTATTGGGTGGTGTGAAAGATGATTTGAAGAGAGATGGATTTTAAATTCTGCTTGCACACATAACTATTTTCATCCCTGTGTCAGTGGCACCACGAGCCCGCCATTTTACCTCAATCCCGGTTATTTTTTAAATCATTTTTTAAAATCCTTTTAGAAAGGGAAGGCTTTACAAATTTAAAAGCAGAGGTTCACTTTATAAAAGATACTTAAAAATATATTGTTTCACACTAAAAAGCCCATAAATCTACTTGTGAAGTTTTTTGCCTTTGGTAAAACTGGAAAAGATTTCATTCATTTTTTCAATATATTAAATATATTGAATATATATATATTCATATATATATATATAATATGTATTTCAATATATTAAATTATAAATCTGAGTTATATCTTTGTTAGAGCATTAGCATCATCAACAGTGTACTTTTCAAGTATTTTTCTAAAAGATGAGTGCCTGAATAGAAACTTTAAAAGGGGTTTCATAATGGCAAATCAGCTAGTGGCAAATATTCCTTCCTCAGAGACATTAAAACAAATCATTCAGGAGATTTAAATATGATATAACATTAATCAAAATATTTATACATCATTGAAAAGTCTAGTCATTCTGCAAACAAATTTTAAGGTGGTATTAGTCATTTAACAAGATGTTAGTTTTTCTTTTTCAGATTTATTTATTTATTTATTTATTTATTTATTTATTTATTTATTTGAGAGAGAAAGAGTGCATGTGTGGGAAAGTAAGGTGGGGGGAGAGTAGACAGAGAGAGATCTGGAATAGACTCCCTGCTGAGTGTGGAGCTTGACATGGGGCTGGATTCCAAGACCCTGAGATCACGACCTGAGCTGAAACCAAGAGTCAGACGCTCAACCGACTGAACCACCCAGGGGCCCCAAGATGTTAGCTTCCAATATAAAAATTTAGACTTTTAACTCCCCACAGAAATCGAGGTGCTCCATACTGCTTTGTCCTCTTTCCAGAGTGGCACTGCAACCACTGCATCAGTTAATTTTCATCTCCCAAAGTGAAAAGGGGAAGGGAAGAGGCAAAATTTTAATAGCTAACATTTACTGAATATTCACTATATGTCAATTGCTGTTTAGATTTAAGATACATTAGCTTATCCTCACAACAGCCCATACAGCTAATATTATCCTGTGTGACATATCAGCAGAGTAGGAGCACAGAAAGAGGAAGTGACTGGTCTAGTAGGGAGACACAAAACCACAAACTCAGTCCCGTGACTCAGCGCCATTAAATATCACCAAGATTCAAGCAGTCTTGATTTCTAGCACTCCAACATAGTCCACAGCCTCTGATTTGCACTTCTGAAGTTGAAAGGTTAAAAATCAAATTTAAGCAAACACATCTGGCAGTAAAACTTGATATGGGATTAGTACTTTTAATTAATTGAATTATTATTTATTTAAGTACATTAGTACTTTTAATTTATTCTACATTATATGAATATTCACATTTTTCCCCTGTGGAAATATTAATGTGATTGTGGGGTGCTCAGAACCGACTGGAATGTTACTATATGATGTATACATTGTTATCCTTATAAAATGTGGACATTTCTGAATTCTGAAACACATCCAATCCCTGCCATTTTACATAAGGGACTGTGAACCTGAGCTACTCTTTCCAACTTTCTAAACCAAATGACTCCGAATAGTAACAAGAAAATGTCATGGGTGAAAATCTCTCACTTGCCTTCCTCCCTCCACTGCATACTACCTATTTGACAAGGAAGCTCCACGGCCTTTATATGACCCCCCCAGACATGAGAGCTCCCTAAAAGTGCTATAATTGCACAGAATTGATTCCACCTTGCTCTGCCTATACCAGCAAGCAGAAGGTAAAGTTCCAAGTCTGAAACTTTCAAATAACTGGATACAGCAATAATGGAATATTATTTCTATTTCATTTAAGTTATTGACAGAAACACATTTGACTTCACTTATTTTCATAAACCACATGTAGGAAAAATGAAACAGAAGAAGTTAGAATAAAACCTACTGCACACTACTGACATTGCACCCTTCTCTCTGCTGGCCTGCTTCAAATGTCTGACCATGGCTGACTAATGCTTGCAGTGGGACCCCCACAGGTAGAGATCGCACCTTGGCTTTAGAATTAATCTGAGTACCTACCCTGTTAGGTCTCAACAAATAAAAAGTAGTGGTAGGCTCTGTGTCAACTACAAAAGAAGTCCTTAATACAGCCAGATCCTTACTCTCTCCCTGCATGGAAAGCTATCAAAGAGATGAAACCATGTGGAGAAAGGAAGGGGCTTTGAGTGATTTGCTGTTTGGCTCTGTGCCTCTCAGATCAGTCTTCTTGTGCCACAATGCAAAACAAAAGTCACTCTGTTCCAGAGAAAGCATCACAGTGACACTGGATTTGTAGATGGCTTTTTAAAACTTCTCAGATAAAGGCCTAAGATTTCACTGGGCAATGTTCAAAAGGATTCGTTTATATAAAAAAGGAGTTCACTACAGAGGGGAAGTAAAGAGACTTGCCCCAAACCTCTGGAGAAGCTGAATCCAAGGCCAATGAGACAGTGTGCCGCCGTCTTTTGACGGATTTCTCCTACTCTAGTGAACTCCATTGGCAACTAGGAGCACAAACTGGTGTCTGCTGCTTGTGAGAAGAAGGAGCCTTTAAGAGGATTAGGAAATGTGTTAGAATGTCAAATTTCCTCCGGTTTGAAACTGTGCCAAATGTCACTGTTCTATCCTCTAATGTGACAATACTACTATTCTTGGTTTCTACTGCAATTAAATCAAGGTAGGTGGTATTCTCTGAATGCAGGCTCCTGGGATCCTTAGTCAGCAACCATGTTCCCAGCCAGGGTAAGAGGAGCTGTTAAGGAGGAGTTATGTAAATATAATAAGGAATGTGTCATGAGAAAGAGCAAATGTACACGGAGTCAGAGCTAAGGTTTGGGGTTTTGAGTCATTATTAGGTTATATATATAACAGACACACACAAACACATCTGTATGGGTTTACATATATGAATATATAATACCTCCACGTAATGCTCAAAATGGAGTTATGATGACACCAGAAGCCATTCGGGGAACAGGTTGTATCTATCCACAGTTTAGGATTATTGCTTTGGATAATCTCAAGGTCATGCTATACAAAAGTCCATGCTTGCATATCAGCTTTTCACAGAGAGCATTACGGAAGTGTTTGGAACCTCAACAATGTTCTATCATAAAAAGTAATGATGGTAAAAAAAAAAAAAAGTAATGATGGTCAATAGGACAAAGGCTATATTTGAGATGAAGCTCTTGAAAGCAAAGTATCCTTAAAACCCACCAAAAGGGACATGGGCTCTCACAGCTAGGAACCATCAGTACACAAAATTGCTCTTCCTCTAATGAAGTGGATATTTCAACAGAATCAAAGGAACAAATACTGCCATCTGATTTGCAAAGCCCTGAGTTTCTGGGAAGATGAATGATAAAGTCAGAGCCCTCTGGCAACAGAAACAGATGAAGCATCAGCTTCTCAGAACTGATCTGAAGTTCTGCATTTTCAACTCTTTTTGCCTAGTGTCCCAGTCTCAGGAAGGCTACTGGGGTGGCAAAGACCATGAGAACAACTGACTTCTCAAATTCCTGTAAAATCTTCATGTTGTCTGACTTAATCCAGAAATTTAAAAGTCACTATGAGTCATAGTATTTCATTTTGAGGCAGTTCTCAGAGTGTGGGCCATAAAGCCCTGAGGGTGCTTGAGCTTTGCTCTGGGACATAGCTATTTGGAAAAAGTTTGATCCTTTCAGTTCGTGCTTTTAAATTCTGTTCATTAGCACAACAGCAGTGTTTAATGTGAGGACAATTTTGCCCCACTACTGAGGCAAAATCATTTTGAGA